CCCCCCCCCCCCACCCCTCGTACATTCCAGGTGCATCAAAACAATTCCGTCCCATTGAAGTCTATGGGACGATAGTGCGCAGGCTCCAGATCTTCAGCAGCCGGTCTGCAGACCACGTAGGAGGTCACAACCGTCGTAGGAGGTCGGTACAGACCTGCCGAGGGGAGACGCGGCTCCGGACAGGGTGAACGTTTATAAAATGTCAACACGAAACTAAACCTTTCTAGTGGGGGGAGAGCTCTTCACATATTGCGCAATAATCCTCAATATTCTTGAAGCACATATTCCCGGGACTCCACCCAGGAAGATCTCACCCTCCCCCACCATGATCAGGTAGGTGATGGACAATGATTGGTAGTTCTAACTTATTCACAAGCGTGTTTGTTACAATTCGAGCTTTATCATATTTCCAGGATGGAAACCTCGGGGACTATAACATTGTCGTTAAAGAAGAGTATAAGGAGGAGGATGAGGAGTACGGGGTGATGGAGGTCTCAGAAGGACACAAGGATATGATGGCGCAACCTAACAACAGGAACCCACCAGAGAGGTGTCCCCGCCCCCTGTATTCCCGGGACTCCACCCAGGAAGATCTCACCCTCCCCCACCATGATCAGGTCGGTGGGGCGGAGCTTCTAGAACATGAAGGGACTCATGGATATGATGAGTGGATCCTACAAGATGATATTTACTTCCGTTCTGTTGGTTTAGGGTGAAGATCTGATGAAGATGAAAGTTGAGGGTGAAGTAGAAGAGACGTATGTGAGGGATGATCAGCGATATACGGAGGAGGCCGGGATGATGAGGACATCCATAGAGGAGGACACGCCTACAGAGACCAGCACAGGTGGGTCATAATATATTCTTCTGTTATCCGGGGGAGGGGCTGCCAGTTTATACTCTGATCCTCTTATTTCTTAGAGGTCACATGACCCAGTGCCTAGGCTTGTGGTTAAGTGAGGAACATGCTCCTCACAGTCCCGCTTGGCCCCGCCTCTTCTGACAAGGCTGTGTCCATGTAGAAGTGATCTGGGAGGATGCCCTTTGACTGAAGAGGGGAGGAGTCCCGGCTGGTTGGGACCTCCTCATAGAACATCCGCTCCCTCAGACCTCCTGATCCAGATGGAATGTTGAGTGAAGTCATCTAACCCTCTCCTATCTCTCCGTCATGTGTCTCTATGTTTCCAGGACACGCCATGGAGGAACCCTCAAAGGATCGTCTGACTTTATCTCCAGGTTGTAAGATGGAAGATGAGGACATCACAGCAGATTGTGCGGGAGAAGAGACAATGAGCTCAGCTATGGATGGTGGACGTCACAGTGTGGATAGACCATGGAATCCCTCTGACTCTGAGCGGCCTCTTCCTGTGGGGGATGGGGCCGGAATTCAGGGGGAGAAGCC